GTCTCATATTGTGAAGGAATTAGTTCCCTTGAGTCATTAACCCCACTTCCTCTGCATGCTTGTGTCTAGGCGGTCTGTTCATGAGCAACGGTGAAACATGGAAGAGACAGCGACGCTTTGCCTTGTCTACCTTACGTAACTTCGGCGTGGGCAAAAGCACCATGGAGCAGAGTATCTGTGAGGAGATCAGACACCTGCAGGAGGAGATAGAGAAGGAGAAAGGTGGTGTAAACAATGAGGTCATTATCAACAGCTCTTCAGTAGAATAGCATTGTCTGAACCATAGACTCCTCTCCTCCAGGTGAACCTTTCAACCCAGCAGTCCTCTTCAACAATGCTACGTCCAACATCATTTGCCAGCTGGTGATGGGGAAACGGTTCGACTACAGCGACCACAACTTCCAGACCATGCTGAAGTATTTGTCTGAAGTTTTTCAACTGGAGGGCTCTGTATGGGGTCTGGTAAGTCAGTAATATCCATTTAGTTCAATCATTGACAGAGAGACAAGATTCTGCTGATTGAGAGTCAATCCTCCTTAACAGACCGAGAGACCCAAGTCTGTGTTTAAATTAATCACAAAAGGTGAAAGGTGACGTGTTTGGAAATTTCTCTCATCTACTGTTTCTTCTGAATAGCTGTATCAGTCATTCCCCGGAGTGATGAAGCACTTGCCAGGTCCTCACAACAAAATGTTCACTCATTTCAACGCCATCCAGGACTTCTTCAGTCAGGAGATAGAGAGCCACAAGAAGGACCTGGACCACAGCGATCCCCGGGACTACATTGACGCTTTCATCATTGAAATGAAGAATGTAAGTAACAACTGCAGTGTAGGACAAAGTGTTGCCCTTCCTGTCAATCTATCAATCACTCACTAATGGATTTTATATGTGTTTCTGAACAGCACAAAGAGTCTGATCTGGGTTTCACTGAGACCAATCTGGCTCTGAACTCTATGGATCTGTTCATGGCTGGAACGGAGACAACCTCCACCACTTTGCTTTGGGCTCTGGTTTATCTCATAAAACTCCCTGATATTAAGGGTAGGTCACATGCTCTGTGAGGCTGCTTTGATCTAAATGCATTTCTAACAGTGACATGCTAACATGCTGTTTTACAATCTTAGTTTAGCATGTAGCATGCTAATATTTGTTAACAAGCACTGATCACAAAGTACAGCTGAGGCTGATGGCTCACCCTGTTCCTTACATGTTCTTGTTTTCCTAGACAAAGTGCAGGCAGAAATAGACGGAGTGATCGGACGGACCCGACAGCCCAGTATGGCAGACAGACCCAACCTGCCCTACACTGATGCTGTCCTCCACGAGATCCAGAGGATTGGAAACATTGTTGCTCTGAATGCACTCAGAATGGCCGCCAAGGATACGATGCTGGGTGGTTACTTCATACCCAAGGTGCATTTAGCACACAGTTACTTTAAGTCTTAACACGATTATTTGTAAAATGTGAGTGAATTACTTAGTGTTAGCATATGGATCTTGTTTTCTAGGGTACGTCCTTGTTGCCCAACCTAACCACTGTGCTGTTTGACAAGACTGAATGGGAGACTCCGGACACCTTCAACCCTGGACACTTCCTGGATGCTGAGGGAAAGTTTGTGAAGAAAGAAGCTTTCCTGCCTTTCTCTGCAGGTAAACCACATTCATCTCAGTCTAAAGCATAACCTGAACCAGAATATATTCTTAATCCTGAGCTGTGACACCTTCATATGTGTTTGTGGACTCTTCAGGGAAACGTGTGTGTCTCGGTGAAAACCTGGCCAGGATGGAGCTGTTCCTGTTTTTGGTCGCTTTACTACAGAAGTTCTCTTTCTGTGTTCCTGATGGAGTAGAGTTGAGTACAGAAGGAGTAACTGGAATTACACGCGTACCACACCCCTTCAAGGTTCACGCCAAGGCTCGCTGATGTAACGTCTCACTGAATCACTTTTCATCTAAACAATGTGTAATAAACTGGACAAAGCAAAACGTTTTAGTGGAGAAATATCTAGTTTATCTCAACCTTTTACTGTTGTGTCATTGCGCTGATGACCTTTATTCTCTTTGCCTGTACATTTAATTCTATTTGATTAAGTTATTATTTACAAAAAATAACAATGGCACTTTTTATAAGACATTTCCCTTTGTCCTTTTTCCTTGTTAATGGCAAAATGAATAAAGATTCCATATACATGAGCTATGTTCATTAAACAATCAAGCTGTATTTGTTAAGTTTTCTTCACACTACTGATCAGTTATGCCATGTATCAGTGGCGGGCCATGTCTTTTATACCTGGGCCTTCAGTGCTGTCCAACTACAGCTGAACCACCTCCTGATAACCTCATTATGACACCACAGCTACGGGTTATTATTTGTTTCGTGTAAGAAACGCATATATATGCCTATACATATATAAACACTGCAACATTTGACAAGTGAAATCAAATGTTACATGAAGCTCAACACCTATGAGGGCTACAAATACACTAACTGCAGAGTGCAGATACATGAATACGCGCAAAACTGTAAAGGATGCAGGTCTATCACTATGACGCACGCAGCATGACTGGATGCTGCGTCATTAATGGACAATGCATAGAGTCAAAATATATGTAATTAACACAATGACAAGAACAAACTCACAAGAACCAGTCACATATATTTATATGACAACAAAGCGGGTAGAATAACATGATTCAACAGGCCTCTGCACATTCCAGCAAAACTGCGGCGCTAAAACACGCATTCCGCCAAACACTCAAGGGCACCATTCAAATATTATTCACATCAGAGGAACAATATTAACCATATAAAAACGACACGATAGAAACATTAACACAGCAGTAACGCTATACTGCAGATGTAAAAACAGAAGCAGTTCACTCATCAAAGCTTCTGTTCACTATTTAAAGACAAAAGTCCATCCTCCTTTCTTTGTGAACAAAGAGTTCTGAGTCACTTTTTATCCAAACATTGTGAATACAAACATAAACTGAACAAAGCAACACGCTTTAGGAGAGAAAGCTGTAGTTAATCTCAACCTTTCACTGTTGCATCATTGCCTAATGTACTGAATACTTTCATTATCTCTGTCTGTACATTTAGTTGTATGTGATAGCATAATGTTTTCATTAAAATATTCTTGTGTTCATGGCTCTGTTTATGAGACATTTCCCTGTCCTTGTAATTAATGACAAAATGTATAAAGAGTTCATTAATATATTTGCTATCAATATGTTCTTTAAAATAGAGGAGAAAGTCTGGTGTTGATAATGTTGACAAAGCCAATCAATATGTATGAAAACCCAAAACTTACTGACTGTATGTGGCTGAATGTTTGTTCCTCTGCTTTGCCTGATAGCAGTACAGAAACAGACCACTAGGTGTTGACTGTGGAAATCTGGTTCTATTTTGTCTGGATCTGTTCCTGCCTAGTAACTCATTGACATGCAGCTGCACAATGGATCAGATGCCTTTTGCTCCCACTCTACTTTGTATGTTGGCTCAGACACAGTTTACACTAACAGCCAACCTCAGTCTAAGGTCACTGAAAGATTTTTGCACTTCATAAGATTGTTGTTGCTCATGTAGCTGTTTAAGTAACTAAAGTGTCACACACCCTTTTGTGCAGACTTTGATTAACAGATTTTTTTTTAAGTCGTCCGTTCTGTAATGTGAGTAATGCGAGTAGTTACAAGATGTATGGACCATTTAAGGGTTAAATCAAGCATGAATAGGCATTATATAAGGATGGGCGGTTCATGAAGAGGCAGAAGCTCAGACCTTCATCGTGTTGCTGGTTCAACTCTCTTCAACAATGGGGATTTTTAATTTTTTGCTGGATTTTGACTTCAAGGTGCTATTCCTCTTTATTTTCGTTTTCATCATAATAGCAGACTTCCTCAAGAACAGGAATCCTCCAAATTATCCTCCAGGACCGTTTTCTCTTCCCCTTGTGTGGAATTTTTTCAGCATGGACAGGAAACATCCATACAAGTATTTTTCAAAGGTAAGTTGAATGCATATTTTCATTTCAGGGTGAATTTTATTGAGACATTCTAATAGATTTGAACTATTTGTTTGATTAACTCAATGGAATTTCCAGTCAGTTTAAGATCTTTCACAAACACTATTGTGCAATTTCTATCGTAATAGTGAAGTATGTGGACAATAACAATAAGTGTTTCCCCTACCATTGTATTAGGGGGCGGCACCCTCCGCCCCCCCCCCCCCTTGAAGGTGGAGTTAATTTTGTTTTCTATATAGCACCAGATCACAACAGAAGTCATTTAAGGTTCCCTTTCCAATATAACAGGTCTATACCTTGTTCTTTTATTAAACAAACTAAACAGCCTTATGTTATTTATCTTATTTACACACTCTCCTGCGAGTAGCAGCCTGAGTAGCTCTCCTGCTCCGCGTCCAAGTCCAGACAAGTGCTGCACGCCCTGCCCCCCCCAAGCTGTAAACCAGGGGAAACACTGAAGTATAACTTTGTGTGACAAAAAAAGAAAGAAAGTGATTTAAATTATTTTTAATGGTTCACCCGGATTCAACTTTACTATTTTGTATAGGGAAACTAATAGTAGATACTGGTGGTCAAATTGAAAAAAAACAATAATTAATGTGAAGTTCTGATCTTGGAACACCTATTGGCTGCTCATTGGGTAATGGTAGGTCTTGTTTTTGAACAATTTAAAAGGTCCCCTGGTGCAGTAGTGTGTTGGCATTCATCAGTGTTTTTTTACTTGATTCATTGTCCACAGCTGGCTGACATCTACGGGAATGTGTTCAGTGTCCGCCTCGGTAGTGAAAAGATGGTGTTTGTCTCTGGGTACAAGATGGTGAAGGAAGCCATAGTGACACAAGCCGACAACTTTGTGGATCGACCATTCAATGCAATCACTGACAGGTGTTACTCAGGAGACTCAGGTGCACAAATCTTTCTCTCTCTCGTCTCATATTGTGAAGGAATTAGTTCCCTTGAGTCATTAACCCCACT